AAAATTCCAACAAAACAGTGCTGTTTAGTGCTGATTCTCAGCTCAGTTTGTTTCTTTAGCAGCAGGTTAACACATAGCTGATGGTGGTGTGACAGTATGTAACCCACAATGCATGATAAGTTACTTCTATCATTATATGTTAAATAATGCAAACACAAAGCGGGACAGATATAATCCATAATATGAACTAATGTTGTAAATTTGAGTGCATCTGTGTAGGTAAACGACAATTTAAACATGAACTTTCAAATTGCATTTAACTAAGCCAATGCATCCCAATGAAATAACCTATGTTAATATGGTAAAAATTATAATACAGAATTTTAGCAAACATTGTACAACCTCAAGTCTCAAAATAAGATGGAAAAGCACAATGAATCTTTTATATGAAATAATGTGGTTTGGATAGGAAAGAAACAGAACTGTTAGGAATGTGTGTTCCAGAAATTTGTGTTCCAGTCTTCTCCACGGTTTTCATTTCTGTATATGTACAGTACAAATGTTTTTGTGTGAGTATTTATAGTATTGATACTGGCTGTTCTATAGCGCTTTATTAAAATAGAGAATATGGATATTTTGACCTGCGCCCTCCTGTGGTGGATTTAGTTTATACAGGCTCGTTTCTACGTCAGTGTAACATTTACTTTCGGTTTGGAAAAAGTCGAGGCGTTGGTGGTAAAATGGCGCACATTTCGGGTAAGATGTTAAACCCACATATTTAATACCTATCAAAATAATATTTTATAAGGATGGAAATGTTTATGTTTACTGCTGTCTTAAAACGGACTTTCTTTAAGAAAGAAATACTCCAGACGCCTGCTGCTGTGTTCTGACATGTGTTTGTGCTGTCAGTTTATTACTTTGTAATAGCTTATTATTTTGAGTTGCAAACTCGTATTACCTGACTGGATTGAGCTTTTAATGACATGAGCGGAATTAATCACACGCGACTATTTGTAGCTTTGAATGTAATCTTAATGTTGTAGCCTCTTCTGATTTAAGCGCATGTATTTCTCTCCTCGCTGTTTTTTCCCCTCAGCCAGATTTCTCGTTTGATTTTGAAACTTGGAGGCAGAAATGGTACTACATCTGCGCGAGTATCAAATTATAACAAACGAATGTGTTTTATTTAAAGACTCTGTCTTATTAAAGTGTAGCTACACGATCGTTTCCGTTAGTTCATTTTAACATTGCATTTCTAAGTCCATGTTTTAATGCCTACAAAAGAACCGTGAACAATAAATCGTCAACTTAAACCTAAAGCACCAATACTGCAACCTCAAACAAGGAGTGATGAACTTTATAAACTACAATGTTCCTTAGTGTACGGAAGATCTGCCACTGTGTACCGACGTTTTTGTGTTTGTTTAAGCGGAAGTAGGCCTAAGTGATGTAGGCCTGCAGTGTTGGGATATAATATTATTTCTGTGTTCTTATTTGCTCTGAAAGCAAAAGAAAAGACACTATGTTGTCCCAATTTTATAAACTAGGGAAAAGCGCATGTAAACATTTGAACTGTGTCTTTTAGTTTATATATTATTTTAGTTTTCTGTATGTAAACATCAGAGGCACCAAAAAAGTGGTACGGTTTGCTATTTTGGTACCATTCACAACTTCTGACAGTGGAAACGGAAATAATTGCATACCGTACTGTACTGTACCGAACCGTACCGCTCAGTGGAAATGAGCCATAAGAGACTACAGATCATGAGACAGTGTGTTTTTTCTTTTTTAGCACAGGGGTGGGTAGAGATCTGCAATCATTCTGACCACAGGAATTTTCATTGTTCAGACAAAAAATACTTGGCTGTTTCTATCTATAATCGTACTTGATCTACCAGTGTCTCAGTTACAATCTAGAAATACAGAGGGGATCTAATCTGATTAACATTTTGATACAAAGGTCTTAAAGGATTAGATCACTTTCAAATAAAAATTTCCTGATAATTTACTCACCCCCATGTCATCCAAGATGTTTACGTCTTTCTTTCTTCAGTCGAAAAGACATTAAGGTTTTTGATGAAAACATTCCAGGATTATTCTTCTTATAATGGACTTCAACGGCTACCAAACGGTCAAAATTACAGTTTTAGTGCAGCTTCAAAGGGCTCTACACGATACTAGACGAGGAATAAGGGTCTTCCCTAGCGAAACCATCCGTCATTTTCTAAAAAAAAAAAAAAAGTATATTCTTTATAAACAAAAATGCGTGCCTTGCACTGCTCTGCGATGCACGTCCATGACTTCATGTAATACGTGATTACGTTGAAAAGGTCACGCTTGACGTAGGCGGAAGTACCGACTCAACTTTTGAATGGTCCTCCTTCTCCACATTTGTAAACACTGACTGAGTTGGTACTTCCGCCTACGTCAAGCGTGACCTTTTCAACGTAATTACGCATTATGAGAAGTCAAGTCACTCTGCATTGCAGAGTAGTGCAAGGCACACATTTTTGTTTATAAAGCAAATACTTTTTTTTTTTAGAAAATGACCGATGGTTTCGCTAGGTTCATGGACGCGCATCGCAATTTTTGTTTATAAAGCATATACTTTATTTTTTAGAAAATGACCGATCGTTTCGCTAGGTAAGACCCTTATTCCTCGTCTAGTATCGTGTAGAGCCCTTTGAAGCTGCACTGAAACTGTAATTTTGACCTTCAACCATTTGGTAGCCGTTGAAGTCCATTATAAGGAGAATAATCCTGGAATGTTTTCATCAAAATCCTTAATGTCTTTTCGACTGAAGAAAGAAAGACGTAAACATATTGGATGACATGGGGGTGAGTAAATTATCAGGAAATTTTAATTTGAAAGTGAACTAATCCTTTAAAGTATTACATCTTAAATTATTCACAAATGCCAAACTGTAAAATCTGTAATATTTGCATTGCTGTCTTAAAACTATTTATTCAATATTGCACCTTTATTTGAGTTCAAGTAGATAGAAACTTTAACACAAAACATAAATTTGAGGTTTCTCTGAAGATGCATAATTAATTAGTAATTCTTTATAATTGGTCATAGTTCTTAATATATCTAATCTCTTCAGTAATAATGAACTATCACAGTTCTAAATTCGCTATTAATGACTGATTGGTTAATCTTGTCTCCATATTAGTGAAGTGTTTATATAGTGATATCCATTTGCCCTGCATTATTCCTCTGTGCCATTATGTGCCTATGGACAGGTGGATGGCTAATTTCGCTGGTACAGTGACCAGTGACAATAAAGGGCTACAATCAATCAATCAATCAATCAATTATTTCCTACATAGTTACCTAATATGACAAACCATTATTCTAAAGTGTAACCCAATATTCTGTCTTTCATGTTTATCATCGCATAAAGCCTCCATATGTTCTGTACACATTCACTAAATCCAGTCAGTCATGATCATTGTGAAGCTTCAATCATGTCATATTCATCACATCTGATACTATATGGCTGATGTTATTTTCAGAGAGGCAAAGGCGACAAAGTCAAAGTGAAGAACGCCCTAACAGTAAGTTCATTAAATTATAGCTATATTTGAATTGTTCTTCTTTCTGGTGAAAAAAAATGTGTTGTTGTAATGGAAAATTATGTTGTGAATTAATTCAATTAGCCTATATGAATCAAAGCCAAGCCTTTTATTATTCCTTAATTAAAAACAGAATATTAAATATTTTCAGTGTTTCTATATATGCATGTGTTTTTGTGTGTTTCAGTGTGTGATCTGAGGATTGTTCTTCTGGGGAAGAATGTATCAGAAAACAGCCGAGTCAGAAACTCAATCCTGGGAATAGATGTGCATGAGAGTGATGCACATATAAAGCAGCACAATGTGCTGAAAATCAGTGAAACAGTGAAGAACAGACACGTCACAGTCATTAACACTCTTCATCTGCTGAATCTAAACATCTCAGATCATCAGATCACACAGACAGTGAGAGACTGTGTGAATCAGTCTGATCCAGGACCTAATACGTTCATAATCATACTGCAGTATAAAGACTTCACTGAGGAGGACATGCATAGAGTGAAACTTGTGCTCAACAAATTCTGTGGAGAAGCGATTAAACGTACCATCGTTCTCACGACTGATGAAGAGAGAGACGACTCATACATGAGGCCTATGATAAAGCAGACAGCTATTCATCAGTTAATAAATGAGTGTGGAGGAAGACATATGGAGTTTGAAAAAGAAAACCCAGAATGGCAATCTGACATATTCAAGAGGGTTGATAATATACTTCAGGAAAACCAGGAAGAATGTCTCACATGTGAAATATTTCATGATGCTGAAGAAGCATCAGAGGATGAAGAACAAAGCAGATCTCATGGTTCAGTCAGATCAGAGGAAAAAAACAAAGAGCGTTCTTATTACAAAGATGATGGAAAACCTGAACAGAGCAAGAGAAGTGAAAGAAGTCTAAGTACGTTTTTAGAATTTCTCTTCTTATTATGCTAACCAAATAAAATAACTATACAAAACTACATTTTAATAATAAAAAAAGCTTCCAAACAAAACATGGCAAGAGCTTTCATATCAGTTTGACTATCAGCAGCACTTATTTTGTTACTGTTGTTAAACTTGTGCGCTGTGAACTGTGTCCTGGAAAGTTTCCAGCAAAACCTGTACTGTGAATCATTCTCATTGAATAAAGTGTACATGTGTATTATGTCAAATGAAAAACTCAAAGGAAGTGAATTGGAACAAGAACACAATAATTAATTGAGGAACAGGGAACAGCTTTAATGCTTTGGACCAAATAACAAAAGAAAAAAATTATTACCAAATAAATGCAACAACAACAAAAAAGTTTATATGAATGATGAATGCAGATTTAAAATTTGGAATGACAGAATACAGCATGACTTTTTGTACATTGTCAGACATTCTTTTCTTTTTTTTAACAGTTGATATAAGAGAGTGGATTCGCTCCAACTGTACGTTGATGAAACTATTGGAAGCTAACATTTTCATATTCTAAAATGTGGTTGTTGTTTCAGGAAGTTTAATGTTTTTAATATGTTTTCAGTGCCAGCAAATTTCTCTGGAAAACAGAAGCTGAATCTGGTGTTGTGTGGAAGTGATCCAACATTTAAAGTCTCGGTGTCCAAACTTTTACGAGGAAAACATATAAAACTTGCACATCAGAGAGAGAGCAGTAAAGAGTGTGTTAAGAAAGAGGAGAGGATTCATGGTCGTCAGATCAGTCTGGTGGAGCTTCCAGCTCTGATCCATCTCTCAGAGGAGGAAGTGATGCGTCAGACTCTCCGCTTTCTGTCTCTCTGTGATCCTGGAGTTCATGTTTTCCTCCTCATTGTTCCTGATGCTCCACTTACTGATGGAGACAAAGCAGAAATAGAGAAGATCCAGAAGAACTTTTATTCCAGAGAGCATTTCATAGTAATGTTTATCAATGATGGCACAGTTAAAAGACCAGAGACAGACTTCATAAAATACAGCACAGAATCTCAGTCGTTACTCAATCGTTGTGGAGGTCGGTACTATGTGATGGGTTTAAAAGAGCATGAAAACTCAAGACAGATCCCAGATCTACTGGATTATATAGAGAACATGAAGACTGAACCATATTCACCTCAAATATATATGAAAGCTCAAGAGAACAGAGTCAGACGTGAAACAGAGGAGAAATATGAAGAGAAACTGAAGAGAATGGAGGATGAAATCAAAGAGTTAAAGCAGAAGATTCAGTCAGAAGGTGAGTGTTTTTAAGCTAATGCATCTTCATCAGAATCACAATCTTGCAGCAATCATGATGTGTGTTCTCTAAGTCTGTTGTTAATGTAGAACAAGATTTATCTATTTAAATTATACCTATATTTTTAGGTAAAACCGTTGTTCTTGGTGATTCATACACTGTATGTCTGTGGCTGCTTGTCTTTGAGCATAAAAAAAAAGAAAACATATAGACAAGACCAAATCAATACCTATGGCTCCTGACGATACACTGAAGTGAATCGATCGGTCTGTGCATGCACTTTCTGTCGCGTAATGGCGTATGCACAGAGCTGGGTAGTAAATGATTACATGTCATCTGGATTGAGTAATCAAATTCCAAAAAATCAAATACTTGTATTTAGAGTATATTACATTTTATAATGTTCATAATGAGATTACAGTTACTTTTTTATGGATTACATGATTACATATTATTCACACAATGGCATTAAATCATTCATAATAAGTTTTTCTCTTTTAAATTTTCCTTTTTAAAAATGTGTCTGTACCCATTTAGCTTTGACTGTGTTCAGAACATAGAATGGCCATGTAAGGGTCATGTAAATACATTTGCAAACACCTCTCAAGCAATTAGACCATGTATGCACATAATTGTTGTGTTTTCCCTCCCCATGTGCTCCCCGTGACCTAGTTTTCCCGTGTGTTTGATTGTTCATTGCTCCCAGGTGTGTCTTGTCAATTACCCCATGCATTTAAGTTCCAGTCTGTGCAGTCTGTCTTTGTTCCGGTATTGAATGTGAATGTCTTGTGCTACGTGTGTTCCTCTCTGCCCTGTGTACCCCGTGTTGGAAGGATTAAAGACTGTGTATTTGTGAATTCTCCAACGTCTCTGCGCTCCTTCGTCTCCTCACAGTAGTGCAACGTGACATTGTTCAATTGTTCAACCAGAATACTCAGACAAAGAACTGAGAGAGATGGAGGAAGCCGTGGCACAACCACAAGCCTCAGTGAAACTGTGGGATCTTGAGATGTGGTGTGTTTGTTCAAGTATCATGCAATGACAACAGAGGTAGAATTGATCTGGATCAGATGTCGAAAATCTGTGAAAAGTCAATCTTCCGAAATGGGATTGTGCATGCAAACATAATCTTTAAAAAATGTGTTCCAGCATCCAGGATAAGCACAGGTAAGTATAATTTTGATGAACAATAAAACACTCAAGTTGCAGTTTATGAATCACCAAGGACAATGGTTTCACCTAGAAACCTTTACTGTTGTGCTAAAGAGAAAAAAAAAGTCACTGAGATTTTGGATGGTCTGAGGGTGAGTAAATTAACAGCTAATTTTTATTTTTGAGTGACTATCCATTTAAGCTCCAAGTTTAGCACTTGCATGTGAAGCTTGTGCCTATAACTGCATGATATTAACACATGTATACATGCATTAGTTTCAGGTGCTGAATGTTCAGATGATCTGAAGAGTTTGAGGATTGTGCTGATCGGGAGAACAGGAAGCTTTGACACGACACTGACAAATGAACTAGTGGTGGAAGAAATAATGAAATGTGTTTCAATGTCGTCACCTGGACCTCATGTTTTTGTCATTGTGTTGAGTGTGGGGAGATTCACCAAGGAAGAAGCAGACACAATAGATCTGATAAAGAAGATCTTTGGTCATAAAGCTGCTCAGTTCAGCATCGTTCTGTTCACTAGAGGAGACGATCTTGATGAAGAGTCCATAGAGGATTATGTGGAGAATGGAAGAAATGCTGAGGTCAAGAAACTGATCAGAGATTGTGGAAACAGATTTCTGGCTTTCAATAACAGAGAAAAACAAGACAAAACTCAAGTGATTCAACTGTTTAACATGATCGAAGAGGTGAAGAACACTAATGAGGGTCGATACTTCACTAACAGCATGTTTGAGGAGGCAGAGATGTCCATTAAGAAGAGAATGGAGGAAATACTGAAAGAGAGAGAGAGGGAAGTTCAGGCTCAAAAAGAAGAGTTAGAAGCCAAATATGAGCTGGATATGAAAAACCTGATGAAGAGACTCAAGGAAGAGAAGCAACGGGCAGATGAGGAGAGAATGAAGATGGAGAATCAATTCAGAGAATATGAGGAAAAACTCAGAAAAGAGTTTGAAGAGAAAGAGAAAACAGAACAGGAGAAACGAGAGATCGAAAACCAGAAACGATCAGCTGAGGAAAAACAGCAAAGAGCTGAAAATAATAAAACAATAAAAGAGATGAAGAGAGAGTTTGAAAATCAGAGATCACAGTATGAAAAACAGCAGAAAGAAAGAGAAGAAGAAGATAGAAAGAGAGAAGAGAAATACAGACAAGATCAAGAAAAGATGAGAAATGAACAAGAACGTGATATAAAACAGTTAAAGATAAAAGAAGAAGAGGAAATAAAAAAGAGAGATTTGGAGGAGAAAAGGAGGAAAGAACAAGAAGAGAAAGAGAGACAGGAATGGGTGAGAAAAATAAAAGAGGCTGAAAATGACAGAAAAGAGATTCAAGAGGAAATTAAGCGACAGCAGAGAGAATGGGAGGATGAAAAGAAACGACAGATGAGAGAACACGAGGAAGAAGAGAGAAAGAGAAAAGAGAAACATGAGGAACAACTGAGAGAAAAACAAGAAGAACTGGAGAAAATGAGAAAGAGATTTGAAAAAGAGAGAGAAGAAGAACGACAGAAGATAGAGGATGAGAGACAGAAACAGAGAAGAGAGAGAGAAGAAAAAGAGAGGGAATATGAAGAAAAGAAACTGGAAACAAAAATATATTATGATCAGCTGGAGCGAGAGAGAAAAGAGGAGTGGGAGAGAAGAAAACGAGAAGATGATGAGAGACGAGAAGAAGAGAGAAAGAGATGGGAGAAAATGATTGAAGACCTGAAACAAGAACGAGAAGAAGAGATCAAGAGAAGAGAAAGAGAGAGAAAAGAAAGAGAAGAGAAAGAGAGAGATGAAATGAAACAGAAACATGAAGAGGAAATAAAACAAATGAAGAGGAAACAGGAAGATGAAGCCAGAAAACAAGCAGAAGAACTGAATGATTTCAGAGAAAGAAAAGAGCAGCACATTCAGGAGCTCAAAGAGATGCTGGAAGAACGTCAGAAACAACATGAATTACTGGAGAAACTCTATCAACACCTGAAAGAGCAGAAAGGAGAAGAAATAAAAGAGCTGCAACAAGAGGTTGAAAAACTGAAAAATAAATCAGGCTGTGCCATTCTGTGATTGATTTCAAAGCATAAAGATGAGTGTCAGCAACATTAATGCTTCAGTTTTATTTTTTGTTTATAGTTACCATAAGCTGTTTGATTAGAATTGCCTTGCTGACAAAATGAAAAAAAAAAGTAATTTTGTTATTCTGATGCTGTTTTGAACCATTTCATTGGCATTTTCATATTGCTTGCGTACTTCAGTATTAAATAAAAATTTAAAATACTGCAATATTATTTTTCCATTGTTTTCCCTTCTACATCTAAAACTGACAACAGACATCTTGTTTCTTTCCACCTTAAACATAGCTTCCCTAACTTTAGCATCCCTTATTGTGAGATTTTTTAAAGGACACAAACATACCTTATACAGTATATAGAAGACCTGAAAATGATCACTATTTACTTTGTTAGTGCACATTGCTAGTCTTGTGGTGAACAATTAATCCGTACAAGATAATACAGATAAAAATAAATGAATAAAATAGTTAATTAGTTAATTAATTTATTTATTAATCTTTCATCTGTCACATTTGCTATGCTCTGTAATGGGAAACCTTTTCTGATGTTTCAATTTGATGGCTTGTGTAGAGTATCCTTAACCACTCTCCTCTAACCGTTAGTTTGCTGGCAGCGAGAGATGGAGAGGAGGAGCACTAAAATTAAACCCTGTTGAAACCCCCCATTTCAGTTGAAAATAAGTCACAGTGCTCAGTCAACAGCAACTTCTTGTTCACACAGACTTTGAATTTATAATAGTTCACCCAAAAATGAACATTTTCTGAAAATGTGCTCATCCTCCGGTCATCCAAGATTAGGATGAGTTTGTTTCTTCATCAGATTTGGAGAAATGTAGCATTACATCACTTGCTCACCAGTGGATCTGCAGAGAATGGGTGCCGTCGGAATGAGAGCCAAACAGCTGATAAAAACATCACAATAATCCACAAGTAATCCACAGCACTCCAGTCCATCAGTTAACATCTGGAGAAGAGAAAGGCTGTGTGTTTGCAAGAAACAAATTCATTCATAAGTCCATAATCCATAATACTGCTTTCTCCAATGAAAAAGCCCCGAAATCAAGCAAATTTTCCGTTGTGGGTAAACTATTCCTTTAAGTGGCTTTACGTTGCAAAATAAGATTGTGTTTTTATTGGTTTACATCTCTGTTTTCTTAACACTTTGAACTTTACCTGATGAACCTCCAATAAAACAAAAAGCCAAGGTATGTTTTGATAAAATTTACATGCATGCATTTAGCAGATGCTTTTTAAGTGCATTATTTAAGGTCCATTCCATGGAATAAACATTATAAATCAAATATTGTGTTTATTTTTTATTAGTGTTTACTTAATATTGTAAAATGTGTATGTCTCTAAAGCCTCCAATGCATGAATCATTTGGTCACTTGGATGAGAAGGGTTTGGCTGCAGACATGCACTGTCAGACTGCACTTCCGCAAGTGACATTACTTGCAACCATTTTTTTTTATTGAATCTCTCAACATTTTACAACAGTAGCCAAGTGGTGAAGACAAGAAAAAAAAGAAAAGGAAAAAACAACACTTTCAATCGCCACTTGCATTCTCCGCTACCTGCGACTTCACTTGCAATCGACACAAATCATACGTGTTGCCAATGGAGACAAAATGCTGTGGTGGTTAAATTAAAACTTATTTAGTACCATAACGTACAGAGTACTGCAAGTCACCTGTAGGGGACAAGACCCGTCCAAGATGCCATCCCCCCTCAATTCGAGCCCTGAGTGTATTGTATTCCTGTCACATAAGGGGTCAGTCACTAGCCATGATTACATGATCCACCTATTTTGACTTGAATTTTGGGATATAGCATAAAACCGCTGGATGGAAAAATCAAGATGTGCATAAATTCTTATAATGTGCGCAAAAAATCTTGTGCATTCATTTGAGGCAGATATTTTTTTTTTTTAAATCTGGTAGGAAGACATGCGCATACCTTGATATGCAACAAGAGACTCGTGTAACTTTTGCCTCAACAGAGGATGTGATCGATAACTGGACTCATTGGAATCATCATAGGGGTTGGTTGTAACAATTTTAATAAACGGTTACAACTATCCCCAACCCAAACAGCCATAACATAGCAAACTGTCTTAGCATGGGGTTGAAGTTAGGAAGCTATTTAAGCTTCAAATTAAACTAGAAACAGCTACTTCAGGTTGTGTAAGTTAAATAAATGTATCCACAACTCAATAATTGCTAAGCAAAAAAAATTATTTTGTTTAAAAATGTTACTGTCACGAATCCGGTCCATTAACTTTCGTCTGCTTGCCACCAGAGGTCACCCTTCCACTACTATG